AAGAAGCCCTTTGCCTCTAAGGTGGCGGCCGGGAGGTAGAGGTACTTTAGCTGAATCATCCTGAACAGTGCGCTCGCATGCGCTCGCTTATTGCGCCGGCATGTGACTTCAGACAAGCCGGACCAGGCGCCTGGGATGACCTCGGCAAGGATCGACTGCGTATCCCGTGTCAGGATGCTCGTTTGGCAAGCAGGACCCGGTGCTGAGCTACCAGCTGACCAGCTTGCACGGAGCACAATAAATCGTAAGCCTGGCGCAGGACACATGTAACAACAAGTAGCGATGAAAGCGACCGAAAACGGTCCATTCGGCTTGAATCTGTATTCCTGCTTTTTTGTGCAATCTCGGACGGCTTCTTGTTCCTTGCGAGACATGTCCATGCGCAACCTTCCAAAACCCACGCTTTGGCACACACCGTGGGCTGCAGGGTCCGGGCCGTGAGGCCCGGTACGAGTACAACCGCACCAGCAGAGGCCCTACCACCACTGATTTCACACATCCGGCATTGTTGTGCTCCCTCAACCACACGCTCAAAGAAGGAAGGACTAAACAGACGCCACCTCCTGCATATAGTAGAAAATCATACAGTATAATGGCTTCAAGTAGCTTCCGATGAGACTTCGGGTATAGGCTGTTATGGGCTGTTACATGCAGTTACAGGGTTCACCGACACGGAGCCCTGCGACAGCTCCGCAGCTGAGGCCTCCATTATCCTTGTGGTCGTTGTAGTATTTCCATGTATTTCCATCGGAATCTTTTCGAGTTTCGCCATGTTTCGCCATGTTTCGCCAAAGCGCACTGAACCTGCAATACAAGGTGGGCCCCCAAGTAACGCGTCGTCTTAGGAGTCATGTCTTGAGCTGGATAACATATTGGCGGCGTAGTCCCCCAACTGAGAGACACCACGTGAACCCAGACATCCAAAAGCGACAGAAGTTGCTGGCACATTTGGGAAACCCAGGCATCCAAAAGCATCGACAGTCGAAAGCCAACACATTTTAGCATTTGAGGGCTGTTCTATGATTCTATGTCCTTGTTCTATGAATGCCAATTAATTAGGACCCCTTGTTCTTCGCCCTTGCGCGACCCTTCCGCCCGCGAGGTTTTCTCAATAGTTGGGTTCCGTTGAAGCATCCCAAACGACAAGCTTGTGCAAAACATGCGCTCGCCCTTTCAACTTGTGCGAGCTTGCGCGCGCTCGAAGGGTGTGCACGTTGCTCATCGTCCTGATAATCATGTCACAACAGCCCGGCATAAAGAACAACTCATTTCGCGAACCCATAAGCCGAAAACGCCAACAGTTTTCAGAGCGCGATATAAACCAAAAATGCAAGCAAGCTTCGAAAAAGAGTCCAGCCAAGGCCCCCGCGCGGCAACCTCTAACATGTTAGAACCTCTTTCGTGTTGACACACTGTTTGAGAAAATCACTTACCCATTGACTCACTCACACGGCTGGCACTGCACGTTGAGCACATGCTTGATGTCTTTCTTGGCCTCCCCAAAATTGCATGCAAGGACCTTGGGCTCGCCGCTGGCGTGGCCATCGAGGGGAACATCATCTTGAACATCTGCTCCTGCTCGACAACATCTGGCGAGCGCGGCCTGCTCCTCTTGGGAGAATCTCTGTAGATGGCGCTCTGTGACGCAAGACAACGCGAATCTGCTCTTCCTCCTTGCAACTTCAAGTCCTAGTAGAATGGGTATGCCAGCATTTTTACGCGTTCGGACAGCGTGGGGATCCTCGAAGAAATTTGTAATAGTAATTTCTCGAGGTTCGCCGGCACTTTGGATAAGAATCGTGTGGCCAGGGAGATTTTCGGACGGCGCACCGATGCCCTCGCGGTCGAGTTCGCCGACCACTTTGCTGATATCTCCTAGCTGCCGATGGCTTTCTGCGCGACCCTGGCGGCACCATGTGAAACACATGGGTCCTGGGCCTGTCTTGCTGGGCCACCGTAGCTTAATCATCTCTGGCCGGTCCAGCTGGCGTCGCCCCACTCACCAAGGGTATGAGCGATCCTCACGCCGAAAGCAAATCCAGCCCAACCTTTCCGACGGCTCGAAGCGGCCGTCCTTTGGCAACTGTTTGGCAAGGACAAGCACTGCCGTCGGTGTTGGCAACTCGGCGGGGCTGCGGAGCCTCCCAGCAGTGAAGCAGCTGACGCCGTCGAGCATGACGCAGTCATCCAATCATGAGCTCTTAGATCGGCCGGGCACGCGGGTCGATCCCCCCAAGGTCACGTTTTTCTAAGACATCCCGGGAAGTGGCCCAGGTCGAGAGGATGACTCCAACAAGTGATGGCAGTGAGCCACGCTTACGAAAGACGTGTTCCCATGGTCGACAGATTGTGGCTCCGACTGCGAGAAGCGAAGAACGGGAACAAGACTGCCATGAATGAGGCCGATCAGACGGGACGGGGACGGTTGTTGCCCTTTGCCTCTCTCCAGCTCTTTCTCCTCTTGCTTCAGTTTCTGAGGTGCTCAGGCAGAAGATCCGAGGCGGCTGCCCATGCACAAGTGTCCTAGTAGCTGTTATTCCCGAACGGTATGTCAGACATTGTCAACCATTGATCATTTCCTTTTGTGGTGCTGGTGCTATTTGGACTCGGGTTTCGCGGCACGTGCTGGCTCTGAACCGTCTTTTCTAAAGCTTTTGTTATCCATCTTTATTTGCTGTACTGTTGGCCTCAGCTAAAGTAGCTAAAGAGACCTACCTACATGGGTCTCTTACAAGCTGTATCACTTCAGGTTGGGGTCCTGTCCTCCTTAACTACTGTCGAAGCTTCTTTCGGTTTCTGCCGACATTTGAAGAGCTCAGCAAGCAAGAGGCAGTATGAGCCCCCCTCCTTTCGATTCATTGTAACACCTTGCGGGATCGAATCTGCAGATAAGCAGGCCTCTGAGATGTCCATGCGAACCCCACGATGAATCACGATGGGCCTTGCAAGAGATCGGCGGTATCGACGCAGCAAGGCTGCGATGACTAGCAGGCACTATTTGCTGTGTGCATGCAGCGCCTGTACTGGCTGTTTCGCGATTGAGATACAGCACCTGCAAGCCCCCTCTGCCAAGCGCTGGCTGCCAACTGTGCTGCTACGTCAAGAACGGCCGAGCGCAGTGCGGTTTGAGAAGTGTCGGATATTCTCAATGAAGCCTTGAATGTGAGCCAGAGAAACTCTGGCAACCTTCTGACCTGACATGCGATCACAAAGACAGAACATTGATCCCGATGAGAGACCATTCGGGGAGCAAGCTGGAGTGACTCTGGAACAAGTAGCCAGCGAACTCTACCATAAATCGCTCAAGGTCCTCGCCAGAAATGGCGCGAACAAAGTCAGCAGGTGAAACGCTGTGCACGCTGAACTGTGATTAGGCCCAGGACGGGGGACGTGAGAAAGTTGATGAAAGCGTACCCTACGTTTGTCCTCACAGGTGTCGCATGGTACCACAGAGGCTGCCTTCAACCAACATTGCAGGCACGAGTCCTGTTTTGCGTGTCCATTGGCAAGTAGAAGAAGTCGTAAGTCCCTTCAGCTGCTGCAACTTCAGACCGTGCTGCACATCCTCCAACTCTACAGCAGGCTCCTAGACGGCATTAGGGGCTGCATGGGCTGCTGGGGCAGCTGGCCACGATACCCGGCCATGTCAATCTCTTGCAGCAGGCTCGCCTAAAAGCATGTCACTCGTGCGCCGGTGGCTAGGTCCGGCTAGGTGCTGTTTGAGTTCTGGCCTGGGAGTAGCGGTTCGGAATGTTCCTTGGGGGCTCGCGCAAAAGCACACAACCGTTCCCAGCCGGCATCCGAGTGACCAAGTGTTTACAGGGACCAGGCCGGAGCATGACAGTCGTCTTTGGCCTCTATATGCTATGGCTGCTATGCTATACTGTCTATGCTATGCGATGCAACTGAGGTCCAAATCATTGGCCCAGGCCTGTCGGCCTGATAATGGTGTAGAAGATCGGCCTGCCGAGCACCCATGAAGTTGGGAAGGTGTCGCGTGGCGGAGGCGATGCGTGGAAATTCTAAGGCTGTTCAGGTCGCAGGGTATCACATGGCATCACATGGTATGATGATGCTCCAAGCAAGGCGCATTCTTGGGCACGCTGACGGAGTGATACGGCCTTGGCTGTTGATCTAGACGAATACTTTTTCTGATCATCTTTTGTCGCTTGTGACAATTACATTGATTTCTTGACATTGCTTGCTCGCCGCTAGCCACTGAAAGCCTGGATGCTAACTGCCCATACGGAATCAAATTCGGCAGGCGGAGCATACGCACTACCAGACTGCAACGATCAGCAACTGCTGGGCACTCGCACACCGATTCAGAAAGCCCTGAGGCCAATCCAATCAGAGCTGGCGGCTTGAAAATGCCTTTCTCCGCATTGACACTTGCCCCACCACGCCTGAGGCAGAGCAGACTGCACCACCACCAGCAACTGAAGTCCGCAATACCCCCTTTCCCCACTCCCACTGACTTCTCACTGATCACCAGGTGTAAGACGCGAGACGACCATCTTGACTATGTCTGGCTCACACTGTGCAAAGGATGGCGCATCTGCCAGGCCTTCGGGGCTTCTTGGCCTTCTCCTTCTCTCGCAGCTCGCCTAAGGTGCCAGCCAACTTGCCAAGGAACACACTGGCACACAGATTACCGCCGCTGCTTGGTTTTTCCGAAACTTGAGTCGCTGCGTGCAGCAGAGCTTCTCATGTTGCCAGGCCCAGTCGGCCCAAAAGACTGCCGCTCCGAGTACACGAGCTTTGTCAGCCGCTTGTCCCTTACTGCTGATCTCTTCTGGATGTTCAAGATCAGGCTGTATACTTCGCTCCCCCAGCCGGCCCCCTTGGCCAAGCTTTGAGTTCTAACGGCCACGGATGCCGCGGCAGACTGAAGCTGCCAGAAAGCTAAACATGAGCTAATCTGAAGAGCAACCTCTTGTAAAGATCTTCGATTTTCATGAGTGCATTCAGGCACGGTCGGCGCCGCATGTCGGCGCTCA